AACAATTGCCGTGAACACAGTCACTATTACCATTTTAAAATAATTACATACGCATAATCTTAAAATGGTAACAATATAGAAAAGCTAGATAAATAATATGATTCTAAGTCAAATTTTAATTTTATATCTATTTGCAAATCCATAGTTAAAAATCCTATTGCTACTAATAATGTATAAATCACAAGATGTACTTTTACTTTTTTTTTATTTATGTTCCAGTGATGAGAATTGATCACAGATATCAAACTGATATATAAATAATATTATCAAATTTGAGTTATAATAAAAAATATAAAAGGACTAGACTAAAATATCATAATCTATCTATGTGTCATAAAATATATATTATAATACTAATGATGATATCATATTTCTGTTATCAAAAATGTGTCATAAAATATATATCATAATACTGATGATGATATCACATTTCTGTCATTATGATACTGATGACAGTATCATATTTTTGTTATCATGATATATATCTGAGACTATTATAATCTAATCTAAGTCATTTTTTGTTTATATAAATAAAAAATGACTAAATTTAAAAATTATAAAAAGAATTTATAATATTATTATAAAATAAAAAAATAAAAAAAATAAAATATATAATTTATAATTAATTATTTAGCAAATTATTTAAATAAAAAGAATAAAAAATTATTAATAATAATAAACTAAAAAATTTTATTATAATATTAAGAATAAAATTTAAAAAATAAAACAGATTTCAAAAATAAATATTTTATATTATATACTTCTTAATATAAAAATAAATATTTATTATTATATAAATTTTAATATATAGTAACAACCAAAAGTAATAACTCAAAGGCTAAATTTATTAATAAAAATAATAAAAATTGAAATTTTATTTCTATATTAAAATTTATAATTTTATTAAGAAATAATTTTTTATTTTTATATTAAAATAAAGTTTATCAGTTATAGTTTAACATATATATTTTTTAGATTTTTTCTGAAAGAGTTGCTCTAATTGTAAAGTTAATGCAAAAATTTTTATTAATTAAATTTCATTTTTAATTAGTAAAAATTTTTGTATTAATTTTACTATTAGAACAACTCTTTCAGAAAAAATCTAAAAAAATCTGAAAAAAATATATGTTAAACTACAACTAATAAATTTTATTTAATATAAAAATAAAAATTATTTCTTAATAAAATTATAAATTTTAATATAGATCAATTTTCACTATATTTTATTAATAAATTTAGTTCCTAAGTCATTATTTTTGGTCATCACTATATATAATAACTTTGAATTTGTTATACTAATATATATAATAAGTGATATTACTAATTTTATTCCATTAGAAATGAGATTTTTTTGATTAATAAAGATTTCAAATGAAATTAGTAAATATAAAGTTTGAATATTAAACTTAAAGATTAAATCATCTATATTCAATTTAATTATATTGCTGAATTTATATTCAAATAATAATACTAAGTAATAATCATGTATATATAGCTTAATAAAAAGTAATTTCACATATTAACATTTTTTTAAAAAATTTGTGTATTTATTCTTATATCTTAAGATGTATTATGATATTTTTGGATAAATAACCACAGCTATATTGGCTAAATAACTTTAATTAATGATAACTAAAGACAGATTTCAAACATTTAGTAAATAATTTTTAGTATCAAAAATTATCTTAGAAAACAGATATTTGGCTGTTGAATAATATTATTCAACTAATTAATTTACAATTATAATAAAGATTTCAAAGAAATAAATATTTTCTGTGTTTTTAAAGACTATCCCATTATTACTTATGATTGGTTGGTAGACATTGTGAAATTGTACATGTATAATGATGTTACAATGCATTATCAAAAAATTCGGTAACTTTGGGACGCGATATCTCGACGTCCAACAGTCCGATTTGAACAAAAAATGGGACCATTCGATTTATCTAGTCTAGGCGAATAGAATGATTCTATTTTAGCCTAAATTGGACTGTTGGACGTCGACATATCGCGTCCCAAAGTTACAGAATTTTTTATTATAATGATCTAGACGTTTTCGGTTTGCAGTAAATGGGGGCTAACAGTATTTGTGATTTGCATTATTAACGTTAGGACTCTGTTAGCCACCGAACTATTTAATGCTGGGACCAGATCGAACTTTTAATGGTATTAGTATAAAGCATTAATTACAACATATGAACAGGATGTTTAACTTCTTTATGGAACTGTCACAATTATTACATAACGATAACGTTTGTTTATCGTTATTAATGTTAACGTTTAATTTACAAGTATTTTGTAATATGTGATCATCCTGACGTTAATCTTTTGAGATTAACCATAAAAATAATTTTTGTAAAGTCACGGTTTATAGAAAATATATAAAAATAGATTATTCCTGGATTTAACGTTTTACCTCTAAAAAAAATAAACAATGCAAAAGCGCACTATAAAACTCATCTTATCATTCCTAGCCGCCATACTATTCTCATTAACCAGTGGAGTTCCATATGTATTTTCTAGTTACGGCTCAGCATTTGCAGAGCGACTGAATTTCTCTTCTATGCAGATAAACACAATTGCGATTGCTGGGAATTATGGAATGTTTTGTTCGAATCCATTCTTTGGGTATATTGCGGATAATTATGGACCGAGATTGTATGAGAATTTTTCCGTTTTTCCGAAAAAAAGATTTGTTAATCAGGATTAACTCTTTATTGAATTTCCAAAGGTCAGCTTTATTAGGAACAACTTTTCTATTTACTAGCTTCTTATGTATGGCCTTAACTTACAATGGGACATTTCCGCCTTATTTCTTGTTATGTGTTGTGTATCAATTATTGGTTGGAATGGGTTCAGCGGCAGGTATAGTTATATAATCAATGTTTTAGTCAAATCCGCTTTAGTCAAATCTATTAATTTATTGTAATTTATATAGGATTTATAGCGACTCTTACGACCCAAGCAAAAAATTTCCCTCATCGAAAAGGGACAGCACTGGGTGTCCCATTGGCATTTTTTGCACTTTCTTCATTAGTATTTTCACAAATCGAGAATTTCTTTTTTCGCACAAATGTTTATCACTTTCTATTATTCATGGCATTTTGCACAGGAGTCGGTGATTTGATTGCGAGTTTTTTTCTAAAGATTGTTCCAAAGCCTTCAGATCCCTCTCAAAATCAAATTGATGAGCAACGTCAATGTCAAGAAGTTGCAGTAACAGCAGCAGCACAATCAATAATACATAAAAAGAGATTGGGACAAGACATTAATAATAATGAAAACGAAGACACCAACAATAATAACGTTACATCGAATTCATGTTCTGCAATTGCATCTGATTATTATTTTATTATATGTAATGCACCATCTGAAACCACACCACTAATGGAAAGAGAATGCATTGACTCAAATACGTCCATCGGTGGCTTTCAATTCTTTGCAAACCATGATGCCAGAGTTTTATTTTTCATCGTATTACTAATCGGTGGCTCTGGATTAATGTATATCAACAACGTGTCAGAAGTTGTCAAATTCCTATATCCACATCACGATTCTTCATTAACACACGATAAACTAGAACAACTGCAAAGGTTACAAAATCTGCACGTGTCATTACTTTCAATCGCTTCTTGTGTTGGAAGATTTTCAACGGGATTGTTTTCGGATTTTATGCTAAATACTTTCCAGTTGAAACGTCTTTGGTTCCTGATCATGGCAGGAACTTGGCTTTCGATTGGATATTTTATAGTGGGTGTCATTGTGACAAGATTGGAAAATTTGTGGCTGGCAAGCATAATTATTGGATTTGGATTTGGAAATATGTTTGGTATTGTGCTGACTATTACGAACGAATGGTTTGGAGCCAGAACGTTTGGCTTAAATTGGTAATTTTTAATTGTTTCGATGTTTATTGGCAAATTTAGAAAGTGCTTCTAATTTTTATTTATTTAGGGGTATCCTGTCATATGTAAGTTGATTGCCGTTTTTTTATCAGTCAAATTGATTCTAATTACTTTAGAAATTTCGTTTAGGCAATTCCAATTGGTGGTCATTTATTCAGCGCTGTCTTTGCCTACAACAAAGACATAATCCAAGAACCTACTTGCTTTGGCCCCAATTGTTTCAATCGTGTGTTTATATTAATTTCTATAGCTTGTGTCTCGAGTGTTTTGTTGGCCCTTAATCTTTTTTGGCGAAGATTGCAGAGACGCCGGAGACTTATCAGGCAACGGACACAATAGCAAATGAAAATGATCAAATGTGAATATCATGTTAATAATGCATGTACCGGTACGGAAACATTATACATGTACATGTCGTTCGTTGAAAAGTTAATATTCACTTGGTAATTGATTACTTTTATAGGTCCAAGAGAGTTATACGACTAATTATCTTCTAAACAAGGTGATATGTATAAAATTTATTACTGACGAATTATAATTATCTTCTCAATAAGATAATTTATACATGTTTTACTTCTTAACAAAAATATAATTATCTTCTCAATAAGATAATATACGTGAATTTACTTCTAACTAAATGCTC